CTATCCATGTGATCTTCTGTGTCACTGTATACTATTCGTGTGATTCTTCTGTGTCACTGTATACTATTCATGTGATTCTTCTGTGTCACTGTATACTATCCGTGAGTCTTCTGTGTGTATATCGTGTGATCTTTCTATGTTACCGTATACTATCCGTGTGTCTTCTATGTCATGTATACTATCCGTGTGCAGTCTTCTGTGTGTGTCACTGTATACTAATTCGTGTGATCCCTATGTTACCTATACCCGTGTTCTTCTATGTCACCGTATACTATCTGTTTCAGTCTTCTGTGTCACTGTATACTATCCGTGTGAGACTTCTATGTCACCATATACTATCTGTGTCAGTCTCCTATGTTACTGTATACTATCCGTGTCAGTCTCCTATGTCACTGTATACTATCCGTGTGAGACTCCTATGTCACTGTATACTATCTGTGTCAGTCTCTTATGTCACCGTATACTATCCGTGTGACTCTCCTATGTCACCGTATACTATCCGTGTCAGTCGCTTATGTTACTAAATACTATTCATGTGATTCTTCTATGTCACCATATACTATCCGTGTCAGTCTCCTGTCACTGAATACTATTCGTGTGAGTCTTTTATGTCATCGTATACTACCCGTGTTAGTATCCCATTCTAAGCCAAGCACCTGTCAAGGGCAACGACATCTTCTGAAAACAAGTTAGAATTAAAGTAATTCTTTCCGGTTATTACAGGGCAGTTGGTGGTGCTCCCTCTGACGTCCTCAAAACTGTTGGTATCTTGGGATGCAAGCGAAAGTCCGCTTATCAAACAGGTGAGATTTTACCGGTATACATCAATTTACACGTAGACAAAAATGTAAGCACAGACATTACCCTTCAACGAGATGCGAGGTGCTTTTAAGTCCATATTATCCCCAGGTTTCGGACGTGGATGTGACTGGTGAGACAAGCGTGGAGTTAGACTTCGAAGGCTCATACGCTAGAGTCACCATTTTCAATACACTCAGTGGAAATACTACAGACAGCCTATATAGCCCCCTCCAGCTTTATGTCTTCATTCCCTCACTTGCTGAAGGTAATGTGCAGATGCTAACTACAGTGACAGTAAAAGCATGTTATTTAGTATTCGCTCTGTTAGAGAAAGAATAGACCATGACGCAATATAAAGCCATGATCTTCTTTTAGAGCCATACCTCAGCCTGCCCTGGGAATGCCCCGATACCCACGCGTGCGAGCCCGACACCCAGTGCGTCCCTGGGACGTTCAGTCTTCTTCCTGACCTTGATGCAAATGAGGAAGAGTTTCCCTATTCTTGTAGAGGTAGGTCTTCTCATGTCACTTCAATATCAATGAATTATGTGTTCATAAATCGTCAGTATTAGTGTAAGAATACCAGAGACTAAAATCGAAACCTCTTCCGTGGCATTTGTGGTGGAAGATGGTAACCAAACTGACATCACTGACGGCCTGACCGCTGCCGAGGGAAAGGTGTTGTCCATCCTTCACGCTGACATCATTTGGCCGGATCTTCAGACCTCAAGCAATTTTAGCTGTAGGATGAGTTCATCACTTTCCTTGTTGAAATACAGGTGGGCTGTTAATTCAAACAGGTTTCTGAATTTTTTGTTTTTGTTTTCTACTCTACTCAATGTACTTGTGTTTCAAAGACTCTATAGTAAGAGCAAACGGGTGACTAAATTGGTAAGACTCAATTTGGTTATTTTATCCACAGCATCGATGGGAAGAAAGCATCCGGGAATCTACAGATGCTAACAACATACATGAATCTCTGGTCTGGCTACGATTTCGTGACTGACTGTGTCCCTGACTCAAGTATTTTGCCTAATATCTTGGCGACATGGCAAGAAGTTGATGTCAACGAATTTTCATGCGAAACAGGACAACTGATTAACGATACGTGTTATGTTTATATTAATGAGGAACGAGGTTTCCATGAGGCCCGGAGAGAGTGTCTGGCCCTTGGTGGAGACTTGGCGTACTTTACACCAGAGGTTGGTGAGTGGCTCAGCGACGAAGACATAAACGAAGCAATGTGGTGCTTGGGAACTTCGCTGGAGGCTCGCCCTCTCAAGCCTCTTGCCCCAAAATACATCTTGACGCCGGGTCTCATGTCAGTTGATGGTGCCAGCCCCTGCTATTCTTTCAGTGCCACCTCCAACAATTCCTGCCTCTCCAAAATGCCCAGTCTGTGCGCCTTCTCCCCGCAGGCCAATCTGATCCCCGAGACAGGAACTCCATCAGAAGCGCCACCGTGCAAGAACCCGAATCCTTGCTTGAACGGAGGAATCTGCTACACTACTTTTACGGGTTTGGGCCTCGCCTCTTCGGAAAATGCCACAGGACATATGTGCCACTGCCTCGATGGCTATTATGGCCTCAGCTGTGAATATACAGGTGAGGAGCTACTAAAATACTCGTTACAAATACCATACCTTCTTCATCTATCCTGTAACACCTGTTCCTATCATGACAACAATGCTCATTCAGTAATACTCTGTCTGCCACAGGGGCCAACGGGGTAGACTATCATAAGAGCAATTTGAGTGAATTGGTGGCCCTGGAAGGAAACACACTAAACATAGAATACGTCTGGTATGGAGTGCACAGTAATTTCACTCACTGCTACACTCCAGCTGCCCTCACTCTCTTCCAGCTACGGTGAGAAGCTGCAAAAGTTTAGCCATTACAGCTGACATAAATATCCAACTTTCGCACGTTCCTCTCATATTCATATTACTTTCTCAAGATGTCATGATAAATAAACTTTAGCAAGTACATTTTTTAGATCATTTAAGGCTTTAGAACTTATAATATCAACAAAATTGCCGTTAACACTTCATTTGACCAATCGCCCCATTTCGTTTCAGTAAACCGTCACAGATCAGTGCACTATTATGAAATACTATTCTTGTTAATTAGAATAAATGTATGGGATAAGGAAAGATTGCATCTCATATGAACAAAAATACAGACACAGTAACGTGCATACAGTTAAAGTAAAATGCAGTCACAATAAGAAAAGAAAAACAAGTAGTGACGTTTCGAAATCAGCAGGTTTCATCATCAGACAATATAAAAAATGGATCTCATGTGGCTTACTCCTCAACAGAGCACGGGAGCAGCTGCAATGTGTCCGAGAGAGACCTGCGCCTCCGCCTTCCTTCCTTTTGTCCTCGACATCTCCGCCGTCAGGTACTTCTTTTAATCTCTTCAATGATCAGCTGTCTGGAGAGGGGAGGAGAGAGAGAGAGAGAGAGAGAGAGAGAGGAGAGGGAGAGAGAGGAGAGAGAGAAGAGAGAGAGACAAATTGACAGACAGATTGCCAGGCAGGGATGGAGAAAGAGACAGAGGGCAGGAGGAAGATAAACATTGATTTCGCAACGTCTACTAATTTTCAAGTCGATCTTTACATTACCTTAATGTGTCCCCAATTAACGACGTAAATTTCTCCCCAAATGCCGCCCAGCTTTTGGTGCGATGGTCCAGCATGCGAGTTCCTGGGTGTGCGAAGGGTGTTGATGGTGCAGGTCCTCTTGGGTGTTATTCTGTCACAGATCAGGCCTACGATAATGCTCAGGGTACGTACAGTATATTTTAGTACCTCCAGCATTTCATGTATTCTGCTCGGAAATGACAAACAGATCTGATAACGTTAAACTAGTATGTCCAAAAATACAATTTCGAAAAAAATAACATTTTACTTTTTTCTCCATATGTCTCCTTATATCGATATTAATTATTGATAGTGTGAGTAATAATTTTTCACCTTTATCTAAATAACAAGAAATGCTCACAATCAAACATTTTGTCGACAGATGCTAAGCTCGAGTGTAACAGTCAAGGAGGAGATTTAGCAACACACACCGATATGTCCATCTTTTGCGACTTGACCGAGGATTCCTCTATCTGGGTCCAGTCAAGTAGTGCATCTGACGAAATCCATGGTTTCTCGTTCATGGCTGTCGGAGCTACGAAGCAAATCTGTCCTTCATTGCAGCCCAGTATGAGCGACAGTAGGGGCATGTGCAATTATCCTCTCACAGACACTTTTAAGATGTCGGCCACTCTTATTCTTGGCCTGAATAAAACTACGACGGGCGTTGAAGTTTCCTGGGACGAGCAACCAGGAGCAGACACTTATATCCTGTGCGTCATCAACTGCATCAGCCTACCAGGTTCGACAACAGAGTACTTCTGGCAGACGGTAGATTCAGGAACCAGACGCACCTTTACGCTAACTCCACTCATCAACGGGGTTTCCCTGCCAAGATCGAGCGTCTCCATCTATCACCCATGTAAGTTTGATGCCGAGAGGTGTTCTTCAATCTGACTGGAAGTACCTAATATTAAACCTGCATGCTTATTCATCACTGGGTTCCGTAGCGTGATGGCGTGTTCCTTCGTAGAAAGATGGTGTTAAATTTAATCAACATTACACCCTCATAAAGACTTTTAGTCTAAGTTTTTCAGTTGTTTATTCTTTTTCATTAATTTACATTTCTGTTTTTCTGATTTTAACTGTACATCTGTTTATCTATTTGCATGGATATTAAAGTCTATCTATCAGCCTTTATACCCTCTTGTCTTCGTACTTCACCACCTACTCATTCATCTAATTTGCTCTATATCGTTCTTTCTTTATTATCTCTTATCTCCCCATACATATGCATATCTGTCTATCTATCTGACTATCAAAAAGACATTAATTAACCCTTTTACTGCAGGACTAACTAAATATTGCTATACATGCCATTGTTTTTTTTTTCTTAAGTAACTGATGATACATAAATTTTCTGATATCGTGACAGGGCAGTTGAGCGTGGTGGCAGGAGAGGGTGCGTCTGTCGTAGTGTCATGGGAGCCTCTGTACAGTTCCTTCAAGGTGAGTATTCTGTCATGTCGGCCATTTTATCCTTTCGTTTAGGACGTGAATGCAGGATACCTAATAGGAGAACATCAGAGCACACAAACATGCATGCAATACGGTCTAATGTCACATCCAAATCCTCTCGAATTTTCTCTCAGCTTGCGATGGCCAGTGTCTCCTATTCAGGGGAGGGTTACGCTGTTGTTGAAGGCGTGGAAGAGGACGTCTTCAACTTGATTTTCGTGAATTCGAAGGACAGCGAGGTTTTGGAGGTGGAGGCTCACATCCTACGCCGCGCTGGGACAGGTAGGAATGAGAGTTCATGCAGTTTCCCGAATGTTTTGTGTCGATGGATAATATTGTACCACAGAAGAAAACCAATACGAAATCGAGAAGAGATGAAGACATGTACGCTATTTTCTTCAGTTTCAGTCCACACACGTCCATGGGTGATGGTGGAAGGCTCCGTTCAGAAGGTTATCGGACTCAACTCCCTCCTGCCTGATATAAATCCCGCCAGGGCTTTTACTTTTCTCACCACTGTGTTTGAGGACCAAGGTGAGCAATTTTATTGTTTACTCTATTTCCAAACGCTTATTGAACGAACAAAGAAATCATCTTACTAATATGATACGCCATTTTTAAACTAAAACTAACCATCTATCCTTCCTCTGAAGTCCCTGAGCTGGAAGGGCAGGACCTGGTGAGCAACTCAAGCCTGGACATCACCTACGCTGACTTCGCGACCTCCGATGACTTCGACGACCCTGAGTACTGCAGTGTGAGGTCAGCCCGAGCTCTTATCAGATACGCGTAAGTATTATCGTGATTAGTTCGTCTCAAAGGCACTTGATAGAATGAAATGCATCAATTTTTCTGTTTTACTAAGATGTACATAAAGCAATAATGTAGATGCATATGACGGGCATAACATGAGCTACGGGTTTATATATTCTTAGCTTGTCCGAATTGTTTGAAGTTCTCTTGATTTGACTTACAGAGAAATGAAAATAATTATATTGAGATAGAAAGGAAAGTCCATTATCAAAGTTCCATTTATAAAAGGATAAGTACAAATACAATCGTTATATATGATTGCAACAACTTTTTTTATAGATGCTATCATTGTAAAGGTTTTGGTAAGTACTCATTAGATATTAATTGATAATTTCATTAACCAAATATTTATAGAAAAAATATGTAAGGAAAATCACGGTCGAATATCTTGACGTGCATCCATGTTAATCTGTTTTACTAGTTTAAACCTCTAGATGAATTTTACTGTATCGAAACAATGGGCAGCTTAATAGCGCAATTGTTGTTGCCGTAAATGCTAACTTGAAAGATTGGCATATTCATCATCTAAAGTATTAAGTTTGTATTAAGAGACTTCGATGATGATTAGCTATTTTTGTAGATATATTATTTATTTGATTTTCTTTACATATTTTGCATTAAGCATTGTTTTCACTGCTCATTTATATTCATCACTGAAAGAAGTTGTGTGATACTATTTAGAAGAATTGAAATTGTTCCGAACGAAATTCTCAAAGTGGCATGTATTTCTTGACAGCTGTCAGGGGAAGACGTCTTGTAGTCTGCCGAAGGACTTGCTAGCTTCTTACACACACCCGCCACCCACATGGGAGAACCTTTGCTCCAACACGAACGCATCATACCGCCTTTTCCTCCGAGCGGGAGAAATGTCAGATGACATCGAATGCCCAGACCTGGAGGACCTGCATGTGAATCGCCACACGGAGGACAGAACTTGCTACGGGTTGACAAGGTCGACTCTTGGCTTCCAGGAGGCAAGGGAGGTGTGTCTCTCGTACGGAGGCGACCTCCTGCACTACCATGACCGCCTCAGAACGTGGTTAGATGGGGCTTGGAGTGGAGCGTTGGAAGCGGGGGACAAGAAGACCTGGGTGATCGGCTATTCCAGCACACCGCGACAGCTGAAGCCCATGATTCCACCGCATCTGCTTCATCCCGCTACCCTAGCCAATGGCAGCGTCGAGGTGTGTCAGGAGAGCAACTGCGACCTTCAACATCATTTCGGAATATGTCAACTGCCACCCTATACGTCGGATATACGTCAGACCAACACCACTTACAACGAACCTTGTTCTCAAAATATTTGTCAGAACGGAGGCACATGTTTCACCACGCTGTCAGGGGAACAGATGTGCTCTTGTCTCCCCTCGCTCTACGGTTATTCGTGTGAGAACAAAGGTGAGTCGAATATGCAGTGTTCTTCATTGAACAGTTCAAGGGCAGCTTGACTGGTGGCTCAACACCCGGAAAATATTTTGTGAATTAATTATTAAAATCATCTTTAAAGTCTTCGAACTGCATAAAAAAAATGCACCAAGACGTTTTCTAGAAAGATATATTTAAAACTAAAAGGATGTATTGGAAGTGTTCTAATCTAGTCATGGAACATTTTGTAGAATTATCAATTTTGCTTAAGTAAATGGTCTGCCAAGTTGCCAAAATTAAGAATATTACAGATTTAGCTCTTCATATGTAGAGAGAGAATGGGGGCAATATATTTAAGCATACACACGCACGCACCCGCACACACACACACACACACACACACACACACACACACACACACACACACACACACACACACACACACACAGACTGAGAGAGAGAGTGATATATAGATAGATAAATAGATTGATTGATAGACAGACAGGTAGATAGATACATAAACAGAGAACGAGCCTGAGTACTGCCCTTTTCCTTCAACACAGGTAATGAGAGCGAGACATTTATGAAGATCTCCAGAGTGTATGATCCTGAAGACAGCTACGAACTGACAGCTCCTGCAGGGAAGCTCATCATCGTGGAGTACGCCATGGTCGGTCGCCCTCTCTCGACTGCTCTCAGAGGACGTCAGGGGCTGCCTTCTGCGTTCCAGGGCTGCTACTCCAGCCACTCCCACCACCTATTCGCACGCAGGTGAGTTCACGTTAATTGTAATGTGTTGGATATATCACCATGTATTGCATTCATAAAAGGAGCCGTGGTGAGAGGGTGGGGTTTTCCGAGCACCTTCATTCTATGTACGTCTACTTTGCGTGTGTACACTACATTCCCATGTTAGAAGAAAGTACTATGTCTGATATAAAGTTAAAGTGGTTTTCTTAAGACTGCTTTTGCTCTATGTTTTCGATATGTTTGAGCTATATATGTAATGCAATACATACACTATAGAATACATGTATGTATCTAAATGGCATACGTAAAATTTTCTCTTCTTTCACCATTCACGCCAAAATATCCGCAGATGCAACGGCCGCTCCTTTTGCCAGCTGTCTGCCCGGGATCTGCGCCACGAGCTGGAGACTGCGTGCCCCCCGATGATCACGCCGGTCGTCGAGGTGCGCTGGTCGTTCGCGGACTCGGTTGAGGTCTGCACCGGCGAGGGCGAATATCTCGACCTCGGAAGCGGGATAATCGGCTGCTTCCTTGTCACAACAGGCGAGCACGAGTCCGCCTCTGCAGCTAGGGAGGAGTGTCTCCAGGGAGGGGGCGACCTTGCTTCTGCCGCAGACATCAAGGAGCTCTGCAACATCGCGAGCGAGATCTCGACCGAGACGACGTTGTGGGTCTCCGCAGACGGCGATTTCTGGAGTTCGAACCGTTACTCCGCTTCCATCGACGACCCCAGGCTGCTTAATAGCGTCTCCTGCTCCGCCGAGAACACCGCCGGCGCCGAAGCCCGTGGCCTGTGCGTGTACCCCTCCTACAGAGGCGAGGCTCAGAAGTACTGCAAGAAGGACGAACCTCGCCCGGACAGGTATCCTGGCTACACCTGGAATGAGACAGAGGCAGGACTCATGGCTACCAACAAGTGCCCGAAAGGCTGGACTGGCTACGCCTCCAGGTGGTGCAGCAACAACGGCACCTGGGACGATTTCCTCGATCTCAGGTGGGTAACAGGTCGCAGGTGATGAAAAACATTTGCATAATTATGAAACAGATTTCATGCTATTCTTTTGGGTTATTATATGTTTTTTTTGTAACATATTTTTATGCTATGTCGCGAAATGGAAGTCACTGAATGCTCGAAATCGGCACGCTTTCATTTTTGTTTGTTTTCATCACGCAATATCATTTTTGGAACAGATCTAATCTAGCTTTACACCTCATTCTACATTAGCTTCCAGATCCTTAATACTATGCATCATGTAAAAGAACATACACAAATTATATACGTGTATTTTTTGTTATCATCTGCTCCTTTATTTGTTTATTATGTACTCCGGATCTCCCTCATAATGAGAAGCCGCAACTCATGTGTTCCCTTAGCGAGTGCAAGAGCGCAGACCTGGGAGAGTGGGAAGCCCAGACAGCGAACGACAGCATCACCGCCTCCGAGATCATGAACGGCGTCGCGCAAGACACGGAGGGAATGGACCTCGCCCCGGGGGACATCCTCGCCCTCGGTCACATCTTTGAGCTCCTCGAGACCAAGCACGAGGGCGATCTGAATTCGACGGAGGACGCCGCTCTCCTCGCTGAGGTGAGGACGGGGCGCCTCCGAGCGGTTGTCACGTGTCTTTCTATTGGATTCTGTTGCTAATTGCTCGAAGTGGATATTCTAACCACTTAAGGACACGTGAAGGATAGAAATACTGGGAAAATAATGTCCTGAAAATCATTAGTTTCTTTTTTATTATTATTACTCCGTTGATGTTTATTTTGATTAAGTAAATCTTGATTATTTACAGATATATCTCGTACCATGCCCTTATTATAATACCTTTGTGATGTCAATACGTTTGCCGACTGTCTTAATATGATTTTTAAATTCTTTATTCACACCACATTCATTAAATATTCTACCTATTCACTTATACAATTGGATATTACAAAAGAGTCCATTTAAGACTCAACGGAAACGAGCCGAAGCACCACTGCCTTCCCCGTGCCAATCCCCAATCGCCTCCCCTAAATCACCTACAGGAGTACATGGAGGGATCGTCGGCCACGGGAGACCACATGCTCCGGGACCCCGAATCGTGGAAGGAGCTCGACCAGGGGGTTCGAGGGGACACGAGTACGAAGCTCCAGGTCGGCATCACCAGCGCCGCCCTTTCCCTCGCCACCCACCTCAGCAACTTCACCAAGAGCTATGTTAAAGACAAAATCAGTGAGAGCGAGCGATGCAAAATTTGCTGTATTTCTTCCATCTTTTCGCATTCAAAATCGGTGAAATTTTACCCTTTCTAAAATTTCAAACGCGATTCGCCAAAGCTGAAAAAATAAATATATTCCCCTCTTTTTTTATACTGGACGAACTTAAAAATATATTCTTATACCGGAGAGAAGAAGAGACCAACATTATCGCCCTCGGAAATTTGACCCTCGCTTGACCCTCTCACAAAGGCCGCATTCCAACCGCAGACGTGAGGGTCAGCAGCCACCCCCCGGAGTTCTACGAGGAGATTTCGGAGCGCTCCTTCAGCTACCCCGACGGCATCACCAAGATAGAGTTGCCAAAAGGATTTCAGACATCTAGCCATGGGATGGACGGACTTGTGCCAGTTATTTTCAATGCCTATGGAGATCTTCACTGTACCTCCAACAGCGTACCGTGGTAAATCTTTACACACACACACACACACACACACACACACACACACACACACACACACATATATATATATATATATATATATATATATATATATATATATATATATATTATATATCATTTTTAACCTTTTATATTTGGCTTACAAATATTCATCATTTTAAACTTATCAACTTTGGGAAATGAAAAATATACTATTCTTAGTAATAAAGCACAATGACTGAACACCAACTGTTAATATTCCTCAGCAACCAGAGCTCTTTGAACGAACACTGCCATTAAGAAGTCAACAGTATCGTCATCGGAGCACAGTGGTTCGTCATGGCGAGCAGGTCAGGCGGGTTCAGCTGTAATGGATTATCGAGAGAGAAATTCAGTAATTTCTTATCTTGTAATCGGTGATTAGTCTTGACGGTGCTGGAAAAAGCTTTTGTTTATCTGATTCTGGTTTGAATGATATTTTAATCAAGTTTGGGTTGCGATCATTTATATATATATATATATATATATATATATATATATATATATTATATATATATATATATATATATATATATATATATATATATAATATATATTTATATATATATATATATATATATATTATATATATATATATATATATATATATTTATAATGTACATATAAATATATAAATACACACACACACACCACACACACACACACACACACACATATATATATATATATATATATATATATATATATATATATATATGTGTGTGTGTGTGTGTGTGTGTGTGTGTGTGTGTGTGTGTGTGTGTGTGTGTGTGTGTGTATATATATTATATATTAATATATATATATATATATATATATATATATATATATATATACATTATCATAGCCTGATAACATTCCCTTTCTAGAGGGAAGTCAAAGAATATCAGTCATCCTGCGCCACCAGTACGACGGCGCCGAGTATATCCTGGGATCCTCGCGATGCGTTTGGTGGGACGAACAGCAGAACGGATGGAATGACACCGGGTGCCAACGGATTACCTCCACGCACACGTACACAGAATGCTCTTGCGATCACCTTACCAATCTCGCGGTCATCATGGATATTAATGGAGTCATTCAGAAGGATAGTGTAAGTGGCTTGTTATGGGAACGTCCTTTTTCTCAACACAATTGCAATATACGTCCATATGATCACAGGATTTTGTATTGCAGATCATAATGATATTTAACCTTTAGGCTTCTTAAAAAAAAAAAAAAAAAAAAAAAAAGAATCGACACTTACGGGATTCACGTGTAACATGAAACTCCTTTATTGCAGACCTTATACCTCATATCGCAGTGGATCACCATCGTGGGTTTCTCCGTGTCCATCCCAAGCCTCCTGCTTAGCGTCCTGTGCCTCCTCTGCTTCCGAAGTGTCCGCGTCCGAAAGAGTTCAATCATCCACGCCAATCTCTGCTTGAATCTGCTCATAGCGGAGATAGTCTTGCTAGCCGGTCTGGACGCCACCCACAATGCCGTGGGGTGCGCGGTGGTGGCAGCGATCCTCCACTACTTCTTCCTTGCCACCTTTACCTGGAGCGCCATCGAGGCCTTCCACATGTACCTCAACTTCATCAAGGTCTGGCGAGTTGCTTATTGTTCAGGTCTCTTTTCTCTCTCTCTCTCTCTTCATTGCAGAGCTTTCTTGAAATAAAAGTGATTGCTTATACCCGGGGTTCTTCACCGGATCTCTGGATATTTGTATCCATTTAATGCTTTAAAATGCCAGATTATTAAATCAGTTTGCACTGTTATTCCATATCTTATAAACAGACTTAATTGTGCCCTAGACTTTCATGAATGAAATAACTAATGATCTTTGCCCTTTATCCCTAGTAATCCATACCTAAAGAAATTTCATACTAGTAAGTAATATGACTGATTATGGTAATCATTTCGGCAATAAAGTGACGCGGGTATGGGACCATACGGACGATCCACTGGGGGGTCTAAAATCATCAAAAAGTCGATCTCTCATAC